AGGTATATCATATATATATTTTATATATATATATATATATATTTTTGAGACAGAGTCTCACTTTGTTGCCCAGGCTAGAGTGAGTGCCATGGCGTCAGCCTGGCTCACAGCAACCTCAATCTCCGGGGCTCAGCGATCCTACTGCCTCAGCCTCCCGAGTAAGCGGGACTATAGCATGCAGCAAGACAAGGACTATGACTATTCACATAAAAATGTGGGAAGAAATCGCCGGCTAAATTTTTTTTGTTATTCATATGAAAAAGGAAAAGAAATTAGAATCTTATTTATCTTTTAGCTGCGTCTAAACTTACTCAATTTATTTTCTTATTTTATAACGGATCTTATTATGCCAGTTAGTATAGAGACGAGTTAAGTACTTTCTTTTCTATAAAGTCAATAATCTATAGCCCTTTAAGTTCCTCACATTAGTAGTGTTTTAATGAGCTTCAGGGTATAGAACAAAAATTTGTTAACAGAGACACAAAAGATACAAATATAAAGGAAAAAGAGTTGTGTTTTCAGGGACCAGGGTGGATCCCAGGATGAGCTAAGGCAGTAAGAGATGAGATGGGAAGGGGTCTAGTCGCGTCCAGCTTGCTTATTTGATTGTTTTCCTATGGGCATTAACTGCTGAAGGAGTCAGACTTGAACAACACAAGACCTGTGTTTTAGGAGTGCCCTTCTCAGCGCAGTGGGGAGGAGGAACAAGAGCTGGGTAAGGAAGACCAGGAGGTAGAATTCCCAGCCTGGGCCTGTGGAATGCAGATATCCTACTTCTGACACAAAGAACAAATACTGGTGCTGCAACATCAGTGGCTTTGTACCATGATTAGCTGTTTACTACGTTTTTAAATTTCTTTAGAATAATTTTATTTATAATCTTATTTTTCCCAATTACCCATTTTACATTTAGAAATGTTATCACGCTTGTTTGTCACTGATAAAACATACTCAGAAAAGCCAAAAATACATAGTCTTTAAAGTGCCTGCCTTTTAAGGATTTTGTATCTATTAGAAGCTTTGACTATTAAGAACAACTTAATGAGCTCTATAAAACAAAGCATTACTCGAGTATAGGTAAAATGATATTATAAATATTTGAAAAATATAATTATTTTCCTGTCAGTGAGTGACTCATCATAATTTTCATTATACCTTCCTAATCCCTGAGAGAGGGGCCAGAAACCCATTTTGCAGATGAAGAGACTGAGGTAAAGAGTTCTCCTTGGTTTCATGTGAGAGACTGTCAGAGAGATTATTGCTTTTGACCTTATCAAGTTTCTTAATCCCTTCTTACACCCTTATGTTTCGGTTTCTTTTCCGAGTCCAGAAGTGAGAAGTACAGGAGACTGGTTGTTCTGTGTATTGGAAATATATGGCAAGACACGAACAAAGTGCTCAAAGTGCGTGGCACTGTAAGAAGCCACAGCCAGGACTGTTTCCCTGGCCGTGCAGTTCAGAAGAAAGGGTGTGTCACATTGATTATTGATGAAGCACTGATTGTGGAGCTAGTTTACAGTCTTCAGAATCACAGTAGATGATATGTGTATTGATGGCTTTGTTTTAAAAGATCCCAATCATCTGTCTGAAGCATCTTCACTCGGTTCCTCCTGTATAAGATGTCCATAGCTGCCCTCGTTCCAGCCGGTGCACTTGACAACACTACAAAAGCAAACAAGACATTGTAAAATTCCGATTAAGACAATACATAAATAAGTAATCTGTATTCCATCTTTCCCCTAGTTACATGCTTTTAATAAATTATACAAATTATAAAAGGGAGTATCCTGGCATTTTGAATCCAACTGACTGATTATGCATAGTGTTCGAAAATAATTAGAAAAGTCTACAGGCACGCACCACTATCCCCTGCTAATGTTTCTATTTTTTGTTGAGACAGGGTCTCACTCTTGCTCAGGCTGGTCTCGAACTCCTGGCCTCAAGCAATCCTCCCACCTCAGCCTCCCAAAGTGTTAGGATTACAGGGTGAGCCACTGCACCTGGCTATTAACTTTGCTTTGGATACATGTTCATGAACTGCTTTGTGATAGAGCTGAATAATGCTACTACCAATGATGTATGAGTTGTCGTCTCATCATGTGCTCACTAGCACAGCATGTATTTGTAATTTTGCTAATTCGGTAGGTAACAGTCTCTCTTTAGGATATCTAGTAAGAATAACTTTTCATCAAAATGAGAACTGCAGATACTACTGTACTCTGACACAGATCTAGGTACCAGAATTCAGCTGAGACAGTATGTATTGAGCTACAAACGAGACGTGGGTCAGCAGTTTAAGGAGCTCGCTGCCCTGGAGAATGCTGAAGGGCTGTGATTGCAGGTTGTCCCTCGCTCAGAGCCTCACCCCAGAGTGCCTAGCAGAACACAGACAAGGCCTGGCTCCTTGTCACCTCCTTTGCTCGAATCCCCGTCACAATGTCTGCGCTGTCAGCCATGTGAAAAGGACAGAGCCCAGTGGAGAGAGGATGATGAGCTTTTAGCCCGACGCCACTGCCCCCCAGGATGGGCGGTTTTTTTTTTTTTTTTTTTTGAGACAGAGTCTCACTTTGTTGTCCAGGCTAGAGTGAGTGCCGTGGCGTCATCCTAGCTCACAGCAACCTCAAACTCCTGGGCCTCAAGCGATCCTACTGCTCAGCCTCCCGAGTAGCTGGGACTACAGGCATGCGCCCCATGCCCGGCTAATTTTTCTATATATATTAGTTGGCCAATTAATTTCTTTCTATTTATGTAAGAGACGGGGTCTCCTCCCTTGCTCAGGCTGGTTTTGAACTCCTGACCTTGAGCCATCCGCCTGCTCGGCCTCCCAGAGTGCTAGGATTACTAAGGCGTGAGCCACAGCCCCGGCCAGGATGGCGTTTTTAACCATCTGCTCATTTGGTTGGCTCATACTTTTTGTGACATGGAAGGCAAAGGAGGAAATAAACATTTCTTTTATATTTATGCCTCTGACCTATCTCTTTATTATATGTACTACTCATAAATAGAATTTTGCATTTTGTTTCATTTGAATATTTACATTTAGGAAGGGAGTCATTAAACAAGCCAACTCTCTGGGAAGTGAACTCTTCATCTTGGTCAGTGTATTCCATCTGCTTTTGTCGTTTACCCAGGAATGCACATGAAATAAATCTTATTACAGGCCGGGCGTGGTGGCTCATGCCTGTAATCCTAGCACTCTGGGAGGCCAAGGCGGGTGGATCACTCAAGGTCAGGAGTTCGAAACTAGCCTGAGCAAGAGCGAGCACCAGCTGCTACTCAATAATAGAAAGAAATTAATTGGCCAACTAAAATTATAGAAAAACTTAGCCGGGCATTTGCGGTATCCGGCTTGCCGTGGTGTCGCAGTGTCCTGCCTGAGTCCACTACTCGGGAGGCTGAGGCAGAGGGATTGCCTGGAGCCCCCGGAGTTTTGAGGTTGCTGTGAGCTAGGCTGACACCACAGCACTCTAGCCCAGGCAACAGAGCGAGACTGTTCAAAAAAAAAAAAAAAAAAAAAAAAAATCTTATTACAGCAATCTCACCATCAGGAGATGTTTAGTATGTCGGGAAATATAGTTTTGAATATGTATAACATCTCTAATCTCAGATGCTCAGTTTAATGAATTACTTTGCTATATTTGAAGAAGAGTGTTGTATGGTAGAACTTCTGCAGAGTGCTTCCACCCGAGCTTTCTTTCAGCCTTGCTGCTGGTCAGCCTGTGCCTCCCGGGGCTCTTCCGAAGCTTCTCTGAAATGTAGTGTACAGGTGGTCATGTCTAAGAAAGTTCTTGGAGAATGCACATTGTCTGAAGCAAAATTTCAACAGCATGCTATGCTAATTTTATGCGTTAAAGGGTTAGAAAATTCAACTTAATCCTGATGGGCCCCTTGATGAAGATGATTGGAGAAAATTACATAGCCGCGATCAGAGCTGATCGCGGGAATTTAGCACATAGGACCGGCAGACAGCAGGAAAATGAAGCCGGAGGCGCGTACCAAGCTACAGTGGGCCGAAATAAGTTCCGCTTAAAAATAGAAACTGCAGGCGACTCCGCAAGTGTTTCTAAGAAAGCAATACAAGCAAACAGGGTACCTGTTTGGCTTTAGGGGTGCGCTGGAGAGGGAAAAAGAGGAAGTCTGAATTACAAAACAGAACAAAAACAGAATGGAGAGAATTGTTAGGCTCATTGAAAACAGCAAACCTGGGGCACTTGCTTGTGAGGTGAGGGAACCTGATACCCCCCAAATCCGCTGAGAAGTCGGAGTAGGAGTAACCCATTTTGGCAGAGTGAAGAAACTTAGAGTCCAAAGGTCTCGGACGTTGCTGTGAGAGAGTGGTTGAAAATCGCTAACAGGCTGATTCTCAGGTTGTCCCACAGGGCAAAGCCACAGCTACCCCCCTGCCAGTCAGGGTGCTGTGTGCCCACCCTCCATCCCCTCGCTAACCTGTGACACACAGGATAGCGGCAGGATGGCGTCCGAAACAAGCAAAGTTTCCCTGGCAAGGGCCGGTTGTGGAAAGGGGAGATAAATAAAATCCTTTCCATCTGCTTCTCGCTTCTTGGCAAGAGTGCGCAGAGCTACAGGCAAAGATGAGGTGAGATTCTTATCATACATCCTGGCAATTTGAGTGTCATCCCTCTCACCAAGTGACGGCAGAAAATTCGCTGTCCCACAGCTAGGTTTCCTGCAAGTTTGATCATCAAGGTAAACTACCCTTTGCTCTAGTGAAGGTTTATGCCACAGTTTGATGTTAAGTGATTCTTTTTTTTTTTTCCTCCCTTGCCCTCTCTGCCCCTTCCCTAAGTGATTCGTTAAGAAGCATGATTTTTCTCGTCTTCTCTGCTTGCAATGCCTTCTTGCCTAAGGTGTCTTACAAGATTAGGAAGACTGGGTATGGAGAATAGTAGTGGAGGTTCCTCAAAAAACTTAAAGAATAGAACTTCATATGATCCAGCAAAGCCCTACTTACTGGGCAATATATCCAGAAAGGAGGTCAGGTACGTGAAGAGATATCTGCACTCCATATTCCCTGCAGAACTATTCGCGCGCAGTCGCGCGTTATTATATTGTGTTGTTAATATATCTCTATATTGTGCGCCCATCGTTTAATGGGGTGTATGTATTTAGTTTGTTGTAAAGTATTGGTATATACTCAAGGAGACATATTCAGCCCTTAAAGTATGTAATGACTCCTGTCATTTGCAGGAACATAGATGGAACTAGAGCCATGTAGCGTTCGAGTAGAATAAGCTGAATGGCAGAGATAAAGGAGCTATCTGCGTGGTTGTCTGCAGCTTATAGGCGAGAGCCGAAAAAGAAGTGGGATCTCATGAAGAGCAGAGGGCTAGATTGGTGGTTACCAGAACCTGGGGGGAAGGGGTAGAGGAAGACGGGACAGAAAGGGGGAAAAAGATATGAAGAATGTATTTAATTAGCCACTGAGTGTACAGTGACAATATGGGGAAAGACAGGATAAATTAATGTTTTTTACATCATTAGAAAAAATTTAAAAGAAAGAGGATGTAAGGAAGAGTCAGGGATTCTGCGCTGTGGTCACCACTTGTTGTACGCCAAGTCCAGTAACGGGGCAGCCACTCAGCTCGTGTGTGCGAATGCTGTGGGTGCAGTCACGGCGTCCGGTCGAGGGGAGAATAGGCATTAGTCTACGATTCTTGCTCTGTCTGCATCCGAAGACCACGGGCCGACTGAAGAGGGCGAGACTCCAGAGGACTGGCTGGCCATTGCGGAGTGTTACTTTTTTTTTTTGTTTTCAGACAGAGTCTCGGTCTGGTTGCCCGGGGCTACGAGAGGTGCCGTGGCGTCAGCCTAGGCTCAGTCAGGCAACTCAAACTCCTGTGGCTCAAGCGTCCTCCTGCCTCAGGCGCTCCCTGAGTAGAGCTGGGACTACAGGCATGCCACCGGATGCGCCGGCTAATTTTTGTCGTCATAGTATTTAGTTGCAGTTTCGGTTCTTCTTTCTTTCTTTCTTCTTTCTTTCTTTCTTTCTTTCTTTCTTCTTTCTTCTTTCTTCTTCTCTTCTTTCTTTTCTTCTTCTTTCCTCTCTCTCTCTCGTCCTCTCTCTCTCGTCTCTCTCCTCTCTTCTTTTCTTCCTCCCTCCCTCCCTTCTTTCTTTATTTCTTCTTCTTTGTTTTGAGACACGAGTCCTCACGTTTTGGTTGTCCAGGCTAGAGTGAGTAGCCATGGCGTCGATCCAGCTCACAGGCAAAACCGTCAAACGCGTGGGCTCAAGCAATCCTCTGCCTCAGCTCCCAAGTAGCTGGGACTACAGGCATGCGCCACCATGCCCGGCTAATTTTTCTATATATATTAGTTGGCCAATTAATTTCTTTCTATTATAGTAGAGACGGGGTCTCACTCTTGCTCAGGCTGGTTTTGAAACTCCTGACCTCGAGCATCCGCCTGCCTGGCCTCCCAGAGTGCTAGGATTAAGACCTGAGCCACTGGCACCTGGCCCATTTTGATGTACTTTCTTCTTCTTTGTCAAATTTTGGATAACTAGATATAAGATTTGTGACCTTCGGTCAGACTGACATGCTCTAACCTCCTGTGTACATAGTTTCTGCTGGCTGTCGACTTGATCATCAAGCCATTGCGCTGTCCTCCTCTGCCACATGGACTGTTCCATGTGAGAGCTGCATGCATTTCTCTGTACTGTGATCATGAAATTCTGTTGCTTGCCGATAGAAAGGAAGCCTTGTATGATGTGATGTCTCTATAATAGGTTGTATTACATGTTTATATTCGAACTTCTCTCATCTTGATCCTTTAGACGTGTAAATTTTAGATTTATATTATTTGTTATAGAGACAGGTCTCATCTGCTGGCTGGTGTCCACTCCTGACTCAAGCGACCTCTGCCTCCCCGTCCCAGGTGCTAGGGTAACAGCATGACCACGCACCTCATTTATATTTAACCTCTCTTGTCTCTAGCCATTGTGTTCTCACACCTAAATCCTAGCACTCTGGGAGCCGAGGTGGGGTGGGTGATCGCTCGAGGTCAGAGTTTGAAACCCAGCCTGAGCAAGATGAACCCCCGTCTCTACTATAAATAGAAATAAATAATGGCAACTAATATATTTAGAAAAAATTAGCCGGCATGTGGCGCATGCCTGTAGTCCCAGCTACTCGGGAGGCTGAGGCAGGAGGATGCTTGAGCCCAGAGTTTGAGGTTGCTGTTGAGCTAGGCTGACGCCACGACACTCACTCTAGCCTGGGCAATAAACCGAGACTCTGTCTCAAATAAAATAAATTAAACCTTTCCATTCTTTTATACATATTCTCATACATTGCTTCAAATTCTTCATTGAATGGTAGGACATGCATTCATAAAACATAAATCTGTCTCCACAAAATAATGTGTGGTTATTTATGTGTCTTCTTTTGACTAACACGAAAGTTCTGCCAATGCCAAGTGCACATCTGCCTTGCTGGCGGCTATGTCCCCAGGGCCCAGCTGTCCTGGTGCATGGTAGACATTTAATAAATATCTGTCAAATGAATGAATAAAAGCTTAACTCAGGAGCTCACTGGTCAACCATCAAGTGGCATATGGATTTACTGTCTCCATGACTTATGATAATATATTAAGTCAGTTTAATTGGAAAGAAGTTCTCCAACTTGTTTAACTACATTATTATTTTCTTTTATTAATATTTCCGATCTTGTGCTACAGCCACAGATAGTGCTCTACTGAACAGACTGCACAGCCCTGGTTCTATTCTGCAAGGGCTTTCATCCATTCTTGATGGGAAGTGGGTCTGACAGTCCACCATCTGTTCTGACAGAACCGTACATGGTGAAGCAGCTTTAACTTGTTCTCTGAGCAGTTCAACTTGATTAATAGTTGCCAGAGACAAATTCAATAATAAGTGAAATTGAGTTTATTTTCTAAACTTTGCTTTTTAAACTAATAGACCTCAAAAGTCAAGTCTGTTTTACTATATTCCAATTTATGATCACAAGGAGTGCACGGGCGATGCCAAGGGAAAATAGCTAGTCCAAGTTGGTTTTAGCTATGAGTTTCACAGCTGTGTAAAGCACAGAGATTTCAAACAATTACCAAAATTCCATTTTCTCATCTTTCTCATTTAAGATAATAGAGATCTGAGAACCTCTGCAGTATTTCCCCTCTCCTCTGATTATTTTAAAGTGCATAATATTTTCACAAAATCGCCATTTTTGCCCAACTCCAGAAGGCCACGGCCGACTCGAACCGGGAGTGACGCGTCCAGAAGACAGCTGCGCCATTGCTGATGTACTTTTTTTTTTTTTTCAGACAAGTCTCACTCTGTTGCCCGGCTAGAGTGCCGCAGCGTCAGCCTAGCTCACAGCAACCTCAAACTCCTGGCTCAAGCAATCCTCCTGCCTCAGCTCCCCGAGTAGCTGGCGATACAGGCATGCGGCCACCATGCCCGGCTAATTTTTTCTCTATATTTTTAGGGTTGGGCCAATTTCTTTCTTTTTTCTTTCTTTCTTTCGATTTCGTTTCTTTTCTTTCTTCTTTCTTTCTTTCTTGCTTCTTCTTTTGTTCGTTCTTTCTTGTCTTATTCTTTCTTTTCTTCTCTCTCCTCATCCTCTCTCTCGATCTCTCTCTCTCAGTCTCTCTCTCTCTTCTTTCTTTCCTCCCTCCCTCCCTTCTTTCTTCTCTTTCTTTCTTTTTTCCTTTTTTTGAGACAGGATCTCACTTTGTTGTCCAAGCTAGGAGCTGAGCTGCCGTAGTCGTCGATCCTAGCTCAACAGCAACGCTCAAACTCCTGGACTCAAGCGAGCCCTACTGCTCAGCCGCCGAGCTAGCTGCGCGCTACAGGCATGCGCCCCGGGATGCCCGGCTATTTTCCTAGACTTATGGATATTAGTTGGCCATAATTTTGTCCTTCTATTATGTAGGACGGGCGTCTCACTCTTGCCTCAAGGCTGGTTATTGAACTGCTCGGACCTTGGCAGGCGATCGCCTGCCTTTGCCCTGCCAGAGTGCTAGGATTAAGGGCGCTGAGCCACCGCGCCCTGCCATTGTTGATGTACTTTTTTCATTCTCTCTTCTTTGTAAAATTTTGGATCACTAGTAGTATAAGATTTGTGACTTTTTCGGTCAGACTGACATGACTTTCGTTGGGTCTAACCCTCCTGTGCCCCCGCCGCGCTGCAGCCCGTGGTACATAGGTTCTGTGGCCTGCAAGACTTGATCAATCAAGCCATTGCGCTTTAGTTCCTTCCTCTGCCGACATGCAGCTGTTCCATGGTGAGCAGCTGCATGATGTTCCCTGTAGGCAGTGCAAATCAGGCATTCGGTTTGCTGGGGGCCGATAGAAAGGGAAGCGAGAAGCTAGATGAGTGCTCTTCATATGGTTGGTTCTCATGTATTAATATCATTTCTCGACATCTTGCATCCTTTAGACTGTGTGATTAATTTTTATTATGTTATTATTTGGTATTATATAGTATTACTCGTCCGCGTATATAGCGATATATATACTATTTTTGAGACAGAGCTCATCATTTGTTGCCCGAGGGGCTGAGTGAGTGCCGATCGGCCGTCAGCCTGGTCACAGACACCTCAATCTCCGGCCAGCGATCTATTGCCGTCAGCTCTCCCGAGTAGCTGGGCCCCACTATAGGCATGCCCACACTATGCCGGCTAATTCTTTCCCCGCCCACCTTCCCGGTAATATCACCTCAGTTTTTAGTCTCTGGTCAACCCCTTCAATTTTTTCCTATTTTCGGTAGGACGTGTCTGCGCTCAGGCTGGTTTCGAAGTCCTGACTTGCAATCCGCGCCGCCTCAGCCTCCCAAAGTGCGTGAGAGATTTTGATAGCGTGATGCCACATCCCCCCATCTTATTTTGTTTGGTGTTTAGAGACAGGTTCACTCTGCTAGGTGTCCAATCCTGGAGCTCAAGCGACCTCCTGCTGTGTGTGACCAGAGTGCCTAGCGGTTACAGGCGATGAGCCACAGACCCTTTATTTTATATCTTTTTAAAAAAAAATCCCTTTTTCTGGCCGGGGTGTACTTGTGTTTTTGGTACTAGCACTCTGGTTGGTGGTGTGTGGTTGTGGGTGTGGGGAGTTTGAACAGCCTGAGCGGTGGTTGAGGAGGTGTCTCTACTGTGTGAATACTGGCCAACTATGGTGTTTGTTTATTGTAATGTGTGGGCCTTGTGTGGCCGCATGCTGTAGTCCAGCTACTATGCTGCGGAGGCTGAGGCAGCAGGATTGCTAAGCCCCAGGAGTTTGGAGGTTTGCTGTGAGCTTAGGCGAACCACGACACTCCTCTAGCCTGGGCCATAAAGTGAGACTCTGTCTCAAATAAATAAAATCAAACCTTTCCGATTGCGAGCCTGGGCAACAGAGCAAGACTCTGTCTCAATTAAAAAAAAAAAAAAATCTTATTACAGCAATCTCGACCTTCAGGGAATGTTATACTCTGGGAAATCATAGTTTGAATATTTACATCTCTAATCTCAGATGCTAATTTAATGAATTATTTGTATATTTGAAGAGAGGCAGGTAACTTCTCAGAGTCTCCGAACCCAGCTTTCTTTCAGCTGTCTGTGGTCAGCCTCGTCCCTGCCTCTTCCAAAGTCTCTGAAATTATTTACAGGTGTCATCTCTAAAAGTTCTTGAGAAATGCACATTCTGAAGCAAAATTTCAACAGATCGATGTAATTTTATTGGCAAGGTTAGAAAATTCACTTAATCCTGATGCCCCTTGATAAGATGATTGGAAATAATTACATACCACAGACTGATCGCGGGAATTAGCAATAGACCGGCAGACAGCAGGAAAATGAAGCCGGGGTACCAAGCTACAGTGGCCGAATAAATTCCGTTAAAAATAGAAACTGCAGCGACTCCGCCAAGTGTTTCTAAGAAAGCAATACAAGCAAACAGGGTACCTGTTTGGGGTAGGGGTGTGGAGAGGGAAAAAGAGAAGTCTGAATTACAAAACAACAAACAAAAACAAATGGAGAGAATTGTTACTCATTGAAAACAGCAAACCTGGGAGCACTGCTTGGTGAGTGAAACCTATACCCCCCAAATCCCTGAGAAGTCAGTAACCCATTTTGCAGAGGAAGAAACTTAAGTCAAAGGGTTCTCGGACTTGCTGTGAGAGATGTTGAAAACTCCTAACAGCTGAGTTCTCATGTCCACAGGGCAAAGCCACAGCTACCCCTGCAGTTCAGGCTGCTGTGTCCCACCCTCCATCCCCTCACTAACCTGTGACACACAGAACGGGCAGGATGGCCCCGAACAAGCAAAGTTTCCCTGCAAGGGCCTTTGGAAAGGTAAATAAATCCTTTCCATCTGCTTCTCAGTTCTGGCAAGAGTGCCAGAGCTACAGGCAAAGAGAGGTGAGATTCTTATCATACATCCTGCAATTTGAATGTCATCCCTCTCACCAAAGTGACCAGAAAATCCAGTCCCCAGCTAGTTTCCTGCAAGTTTGACTCATCAAGGTAACTACCCTTTGCTCTAGTGAAGGTTTATGCCACAGTTTGATGTTAAGTGATTCTTTTTTTTTTTTTCTCCCTTGCTCTCTCTGCCCCTTCCCTAAGTGATTCGTTAAAGCATATTTTTCTCTCTTCTCTGCTTGCAACTGCCTCTGCCCTAAGGTGTCTTACAAGATTAGGAAGACTGGGTATGGAGAATAGTATGGAGGTTCCTCAAAAAACTAAAAATAGAACTTTCATATGATCCAGCAAAGCCACTACTGGGCATATATCCAAAAGAAAGGAGGTCAGTACGTTGAAGAGATATCTGCACTCCATATTCCCTGCAGAACTATTCGCAGTCGCCAAAATAGGCAATCAACCCAAGTGCCCATCGATGGATGAATGGGTAAAGAAGATGTGGTATATACTCAATGGAACATTATTCAGCCCTAAAAATGAATGACTCCTGTCATTTGCAGCAACATAGATGGAACTAGAGGCCATTACGTTCAGTGAAATAAGCTGAACAGAGAAAGAGCTACTGCGTGTTCTCACTTATAGGCAGGAGCCGAAAAAAGTGGATCTCATGAAAGCAGAGGCTAGATTGGTGGTTACCAGAACCTGGGGAAGGGGTAGAGGAAGAGGGACAGAAAGGGGGGAAAAAAAGATATAAATGTATTTATTACCACTGAGTTGTACACTTACAAATGGGAAAGACGATAAATTATATGTTTTTACATCAATAGAAAAAATTTAAAAAGAGGATTAAGAAGAGCAGGGATTCTGCTGTGGTCACACTTGTGTACGCCAAGCCCAGTAACGGGGCAGCCACTCAGTTCTGTGGCGGAATGACTGTGGGGTCAGGTCACGCTCCCGGTCGGAGGGAAATGGGCATTAGTCTACCGATCTTTAGCTCTGTCTGCACCCAACTCCAGAAGGCCACGGCCGACTCGAACCGGGAGTGACGCGTCCAGAAGACAGGCTGGCCATTCTGATGTACTTTTTTTTTTTTTCAGACAAGTCGTCACTCTGTTGGCCCGGCTAGAGTGCCGCAGCGCAGCCTAGCTCACAGCAACCTCAAACTCCTGGTCAAGCAATCCTCCTGCCTCAGCTCCCCGAGTAGCTGGCGTACAGGCATGCCGCCACCGGATGCCCGGCTAATTTTTTCTCGGTATATTTTTAGGTTGGGCATTTCTTTCTTTGTGTTTCTTTTTTCTGTTCTTTCGTTTCTTTCTTCTCTTCTTTCTTTCTTGCTTCTTCTTGTGTGTTCGTTCTTTTCTTGCTTTTCTTTCTTTCTCTCTCGTCTCTCCTCTCTCTCTCTCTCGTTCTCTCTCTCGTCTCTCTCTCTCTTTCGTTTCTTTCCTCCCTCCCTCCCTTCTTTCTTCTCTTTCTTTCTTTTTTCCTTTTTTTGAGACAGGATCTCACTTTGTTGTCCAAGCTAGGAGCTGAGCTGCCGTAGTCGTCGATCCTAGCTCAACAGCAACGCTCAAACTCCTGGACTCAAGCGAGCCCTACTGCTCAGCCGCCGAGCTAGCTGCGCGCTACAGGCATGCGCCCCGGGATGCCCGGCTATTTTCCTAGACTTATGGATATTAGTTGGCCATAATTTTGTCCTTCTATTATGTAGGACGGGCGTCTCACTCTTGCCTCAAGGCTGGTTATTGAACTGCTCGGACCTTGGCAGGCGATCGCCTGCCTTTGCCCTGCCAGAGTGCTAGGATTAAGGGCGCTGAGCCACCGCGCCCTGCCATTGTTGATGTACTTTTTTCATTCTCTCTTCTTTGTAAAATTTTGGATCACTAGTAGTATAAGATTTGTGACTTTTTCGGTCAGACTGACATGACTTTCGTTGGGTCTAACCCTCCTGTGCCCCCGCCGCGCTGCAGCCCGTGGTACATAGGTTCTGTGGCCTGCAAGACTTGATCAATCAAGCCATTGCGCTTTAGTTCCTTCCTCTGCCGACATGCAGCTGTTCCATGGTGAGCAGCTGCATGATGTTCCCTGTAGGCAGTGCAAATCAGGCATTCGGTTTGCTGGGGGCCGATAGAAAGGGAAGCGAGAAGCTAGATGAGTGCTCTTCATATGGTTGGTTCTCATGTATTAATATCATTTCTCGACATCTTGCATCCTTTAGACTGTGTGATTAATTTTTATTATGTTATTATTTGGTATTATATAGTATTACTCGTCCGCGTATATAGCGATATATATACTATTTTTGAGACAGAGCTCATCATTTGTTGCCCGAGGGGCTGAGTGAGTGCCGATCGGCCGTCAGCCTGGTCACAGACACCTCAATCTCCGGCCAGCGATCTATTGCCGTCAGCTCTCCCGAGTAGCTGGGCCCCACTATAGGCATGCCCACACTATGCCGGCTAATTCTTTCCCCGCCCACCTTCCCGGTAATATCACCTCAGTTTTTAGTCTCTGGTCAACCCCTTCAATTTTTTCCTATTTTCGGTAGGACGTGTCTGCGCTCAGGCTGGTTTCGAAGTCCTGACTTGCAATCCGCGCCGCCTCAGCCTCCCAAAGTGCGTGAGAGATTTTGATAGCGTGATGCCACATCCCCCCATCTTATTTTGTTTGGTGTTTAGAGACAGGTTCACTCTGCTAGGTGTCCAATCCTGGAGCTCAAGCGACCTCCTGCTGTGTGTGACCAGAGTGCCTAGCGGTTACAGGCGATGAGCCACAGACCCTTTATTTTATATCTTTTTAAAAAAAAATCCCTTTTTCTGGCCGGGGTGTACTTGTGTTTTTGGTACTAGCACTCTGGTTGGTGGTGTGTGGTTGTGGGTGTGGGGAGTTTGAACAGCCTGAGCGGTGGTTGAGGAGGTGTCTCTACTGTGTGAATACTGGCCAACTATGGTGTTTGTTTATTGTAATGTGTGGGCCTTGTGTGGCCGCATGCCTGTATCCCAGCTACTGCTGCGGAGGCTGAGGCAGTGAGGATTGCTTGAAGGCCCCAGGAGTTTGAGAGTTGCTGTGAGCTAGGCTGACGCCACGACCACTCACTCTTAGCACTGGGCAATAAAGGAGACTCCTGTCTCAAATAAATAAATAAACCTTTCCATTCTTTTATACATATTCTCATACATTGCTTCAAATTCTCATTGAATGGTAGACATGCATTCATAAAACATTAATCGTCTCCACAAAATAATGTGTGGTTATTTATGTGTCTTCTTTTGATAACACGAAAGTTCTGCCAATGCCAAGGCACATCTGCCTTGCTGGCGGCTATGTCCCCAGGGCCAGCTGTCCTGGTGTATGGTAGCATTTATAAATATCTGTCAAATGAATGAATAAAGCTTAACTCAGAAGCCACTGGTCAACCATCAAGTAGCATATGATTATCTTCTCATGACTTATGATAATAATTAAGTCAGTTTAATTGGAAGAAGTTCTCCAACTTGTTAACTACATTATTATTCTTTTATTAATATTTCCGATCTTGTGCTACAGCCACAGATAGTGCTCTTACTGAACAGACTGCACAGCCCTGTTCTATTCTGCAAGGGCTTTCATCCATTCTGATGGGAATGGGTCTGACAGTCCACCATCTGTTCTGACAGAACCGTACATGGTGAGCAGCTTTAACTTGTTCTCTGAGCAGTTCAACTTGATAATAGTTGCCAGAGAGAAATCAATAATAAGTGAAATTGAGTTTTTTTTCTAAACTTTGCTTTTTAAACTAATAGACCTCAAAGTCAGGTCTGTTTTACTATATTCCAAATATGATCACAAGGAGTGCACGGGCGATGCCAAGGGAAATAGCTAGTCCAAGTTGGTTTTAGCTATGAGTTTCACAGCTGTGTAAAGCACAGAGATTTCAAACAATTACCAAAATTCCATTTTCTCATCTTTCTCATTTAAGATAATAGAGATCTGAGAACCTCTGCAGTATTTCCCCTCTCCTCTGATTATTTTAAAGTGCATAATATTTTCACAAAATCGCCATTTTTGAATATATTTTTTTTTACTTTTTTATTTTATTTAATTTTTTTTTATCACACTGTTGCCCAGGCTGGAATGCAGTGGTGCGATCATAGCTCACTCATAGCAGCCTCAAACCCCTGGGCTCAAGTCATCCTCCTGCCTCAGCTTCCAGAGTAGCTGGGACTACAGGCATGCGCCACTATATCTGGCTAATTTATTTTTTAAATTTTTTTTAGAGATACGGGTCTCACTATTTTGCCCAGGCTGGTTCTGAACTCTTATCCTCAAGGGATCCTCCTTGCCTCAGCCTACTAGGTCATTGGGACTACAGGTGTGAGCCAGTTTTCCCAGTGGGAGTACATTTTAGTTATAGAAATTTTGACACCATTCGAAAGATTTCTTAGTTTGCACTTAAGAATAGAGTAATTATCCTAGAACAAATGGAGTCACAAGTCACAAAGTTACTGCAATCCAGAATAGGAAATGCCAAAATGTTAAGCTTAACATTTTTAAATGTTACTATATTTAACAGTATAAGATCACCTTTTAAAAGACTTTATAAACTAAACAAAATATAAACAGAAATAAACTATATATCCTGACAATTCTATTTTAGCTCTATATAAAATCAGGTAATTATTTTTCCCCTAACAACTTTGTCAAGATACAAGTCACACACCATAAAACTTACCCTTTGAAAGTGTATAATTCAGTGGTTCTTAGTATGTTCACAGAATTGTGCAAACATCAGCATAATCTAACTGTAGATCATTCTCATCACCCCAAAAAGAAACTCTGTAGCCATTAGCAGTCAGTCCCATCTCGCCAGCCCAGGCAAGCCCTAATCTAATTTCTCTCTCTATGGATTTGCCTATTCTGAACATTTCACATAAACAGAATCATAGTTATATGATAATATGTGGCTTTTGTGACTAACATCTTTCATTTAACATAATAATTGCACAATTCCTCCATGTTACAAGCATTTATCAGAATGTCATTTCTTTTTATTGGTGAATAAAATGCTGTCAATAAAAAGAAATGACTGTCCACTGGGGAGACACACCACGTTTTGTTTATCCACTTGTCAGTTCATGGACATTTGCACTGTTTCCACTTTTTGGCTATTGCGAATAATGCTGCTGTGAAGATTTGTGTACACGATTTTGTGTGGACATATGTTTATTTTCATTTCGCTAGGGTATATATGTAGGGGCAGAGTGGCTGAGTCATAGAGTGAGTATCTTTAAGAGGAACTGCCATCAGCTGGCCGCACCATTTCACGTCCCACCAGCAGTGCACAAGGTTCCAATTTCTGTACGTCCCCCCAGCACTGGTCATAGTCTGTTCTACTTGGGCCATCCTGTTGGTTCTCACTGTGGTTTTGATTTGCATTTCCTTGATGGCTAATGATATTGAGCATTTTTGCATGTGCTTATTTGTGTATCTTCTTGGAGAAGTGTCTATTTGAATCCTCTGCTCATTTTTTGATTGAGTTGTCCTTTTGTTGTTGAGTTTTAAGAGTTCTGATACATGCCTGATATAAATTCCCTCTCAGACCTATGGTTTGCAAATATATCCTCCCATTCTGTGGGTTGTCTTTTCACTTTCTCAATGGTATGCTTTGAAGTACAAAAGTTTTTCAAAGGACAAACTTTGAAAGAAGTTGTTGGATGAAGTCTAATTTATCTATTTTTTCCTTTTGTTGTTGGGCTTTTGGTGTCATATCTAGGAAATCACTGCATAATCCAGGGAAGCAGGTAGAAGTTTACACACTTTAACTATAAATTTTTATATTCCTAAGTGGTTTTCAAGGTAATCGTCATCACATAATCTAGAAGCAGCTGTGTGAATATACAGCTACATCCTATGAGTGGAAAAGAGTCAAGAAATATATTTTGTAATTTATTGAATTATGCAGTCTCCCCCAGTGTTGACTAATATACTGGCATAAATATAATACAGTTATTCATAAATAATCAAATAAGAACATTTGTACCAGGCCAAGATGGGAAACTAAAGAAAGTGCCAAAGTCTAATAATATTCATGACACAAAAGGGAAGGAGGACAGCCCAATATGTCTAATGTCTAACTTGCAACTAATTTGAAATAGAACTTTGTCTTCATTCCATACTGGTTTTCTCTGCCCACCCCTTCTGCTAGGTGAGCATCTGTGCCCTGTTCTGTGCTTGGGGGGCTGAGCCCACAGATTATGTGACTGGGACTTCCCTGCTGGCCCAGCTTCCTGCTGAACTTGGTCAAAAGGATGGAGGAGGAGAAAAGGTTATGGTGTTTCTTCTCTGCTCCCTCCCTATTGGGGCATCTCCCTGGCTGCCTCTACACTGCCCAATCCTCTCTCTATATATATTTTTTGTCTTAGGATCTGGGGCACAATCAACCCCATTCCTCCATAATGCCCTTCAAGAGAGCCTCTTGATGGAACCAGGTGAGTGGGACCCTGTTTCCTGCCAGGACTCTTGATTCAGGCTCAGCTGTGACATTTGTGGGGCCCAGAGTAAAGATATGATTAGAGGTGTATATAGAATATCACATTCTCAGTATTCAGAAGTTATACATCTGGCTAACAAACTGTTAACTAAAATATGTTCTGTCTCCCTGCTGTGAAAAGTATACCTTTGTAATGATCTGGAAGGCCAGACTGGAACTTAGCATTCTCAGACTTTCTCAGAGTTCCACATAGAAACGTGACAGTGCTGGGCGAGGGGGCCCTCAGCCCTCTGTCCCCAGCCTTCACCCCACCCCTCTCATCCATTCTACCCCTTGCTCCACCTGCTCAGAAAGGGCCATTTACACACGAGTGCAGACTCCTGTCCTGGACTCTCCCTTTGGTCTAGCATGAGCACTCTGTGCCCAGCCCACCCACAGGAGAAAGGGGCTGAGGAGCAGGATCATCCAGGCACTCACTGGGCCTGAGCCCAGAGCTCTCTGGTCTGGGAATTGCAAGGGCCCAGCTAGCCAGAGTGCAGTCTAGAAGAGGAGGCACTGTGGGCTCCCAGTGGGAATATCCTCTTGGCCTGAGGTCTCCTCTCTTCCTGGGGCTTGTGTGCCAGAGACAGGCTAGAGCCAGCCCTCTAGAGCATGAGACCCCCGGCAGGGGCTCCCTTCCCCAAGTGTGAGCCTCTTCCTAACAGAGCTCACCACTTTATTCAAAAGGAGACTCACGCAGAAAAAGGGCCGTAGAACATTCTGCAGCCTCAAACATGGATCACACATGTATTTGAGTTGGTATAAACTGTACATTCATGATATTTTTTAAACTCACCTTGTTCAGTAGAACGAACCACTTTTGACAACATGGAGCGTAGAACAGACAGCGGCACAATAACGAAAAGGAATGGTATCCTGGCTGTGAGAGAAATGATTGGAAATCACTGGCTAAGTCTGAAAGCTAACGGTCAAGTTACAATGGGAAACAAGTCCTCTCTGTCTAAATATTCCTTTTTCTATGAGCATCCTAACTCTGCATCTAAAGATTGCATCAGTTGTAGAATTCTGTTTAATGAATTAAAATAAACGATGGACAAGTCAATTTAAGGTTCCTTTACTCTCGAATTCTTATTCCGATACAAGAGTTCATTTAAATTTTAGGTCCAGATCTCTATAATCTGCCAATTGAGATTGATCTGCCTATTTTCCTAATTATGTAGTAACCCCTTATTTAGTGAATTGTGGCTGCTGATTAGTTGTTGTGCTTTTCAGAGTTGGCATTCTGAGTGACAGCATTCCTTTATTATATCGATTCATTTATTTGTAAACTGGTTATCATCTTGCTTGTTCATCTCTGTGGCTGAATAACTTCATGAACACAGATTGTGTCTGGTCTTAAATTGTGGCCCTTAATAGTAGCGTTTCTAGTTATATCATAAAACAGTAATATATGACATTTGCAGAACACTAAAGTTTTTCAAGTGTTTTCACATCTATTAACTTACATGGTCTGGGAAGCTCTTAGGGAGACAGGGAGAAAAACCTGGCATTTACTGAATGATAGGCCTCGTGCAGAGTGTGTTACACTTATCTAATCTTCATTATAGCTCCCTGAATTACATAATACTGTGCCCATCTTACAAATGAGAAAATGAGGGCTCAGAGGAGATAAGCCTCTTGCCGAAGATCACCTACTGCTACAAATGGAAATGAAGCCCAGTTCTGTTTGGTCACACTGCTTCCCTGCAAGGTAGCAAGGGGTTAACACCTCCACTGGAAAATAGACTAAATCAGACCTTTCCCAAGGTCCCGCTTTATAGTCTTTATATATCTCACACAAACCCTGAAAAAACAGTGAGGAAGGGAGTTAAGGAAGCAGTCCAATTTGCCAAACAGCAATTCATCAAAAGTCAATTCACAAAAATGACTGATTTGCTCAACGATCAATTCATAAAAATCTGTCTTTAAGAATTTGCTTCTTGACTATATTTAATGAATAGGAATTTTTCTTATAAACCTCTGAGTATACTTTATATAATTATCCTAAACATTTTTATGGAAAGTAGCCTTCTTAATAGCATTTTAAGAGTTACTCTCATTGGTGAAAACTATATTGAAGAACTGATTCATAAGAAGAATGTGGCTCAAAACAATTTTTTGGCAAGTGTTGGCACATTTGGAAAATTGTAGTTATCGGTGAATTAAAATTTTAAAGCAAATTTGGTTTTGAGCTCATTGGTTTCTGGCAAACTAGCTTTTTACTTTTAATTGAACTAGAATGGATTAAATAGAGAGCTCTATATTTCAGTTTTTCTCCCAAGAGACTCACTTGATTTCATATGAACATCACATACACAGTTAGTTCTAAGGCTACATTTGTAACTCACCGAGAAACATCATCAGTGTTGTCCTGGCAAAAGCAGTGATAGCCATTCCTGCCATGGTGGTAACAATCCCAATGAAGGCCATATGAATATCTTCCATACAATACGAAAAAAACCATATTCCTAGGAAGCTACTCAAAAAAGTGGCACTGCCCAAAGCTGACCCATAACCTATAAAAACTTCATTCCAGCAGAGCGGTGAATTCAATTCATAAAGGATAAAAACTGGGGAAATGCCAATGACCATGAAATAATAAGTCATCACCGTAAAAAGCAACAAACAGAGCACATACCGTTGCGTACCAGAAGCATTTTTAAAAAGCATGTAAGTTCGGTAAAATAGGTTTTTAAAGCCTTCACCACATGTCATAGTAACATTCTGAGATGAAGACTCTTTCATTGGATCACTAAGAAAAAACGAAATATAGATCAAGTTAACAGCAACAGCCACAGCAATAATGAAAAACGACCACACAAAACCTAGTTCTCTAATAAAATAGCCAGATGACAGTCCTGTTAGTCCAGTAACAACTCCAAGTATAAAGTCAACTATAGCTATTCGAATTGTTTTTTGTTTGTGTTCTTTACACTGGTCGACTATATAGGCAAGGGAGGCTCCAAAAAATGTGGTAAAATTGCCACAAAATGCACCAATGAAGGTAGATGCAATCAAAAGCTGGAATGGAAAGGCAAAATAGCAAAGCAAACAGAGCCAAATGCTGGTTGCAAGACCACCAACAGAAGACAAAATCATGGGGAGTTTTCGTCCATAGTGATCACTATTAGACAAAAGTATGAACGTAGACATTAGACCAGGAATTAACCCACTTATGTCCATCTGCAGACCAAAAAGAGATGCTTTTCTCTGAACTTCCTGCAAAGACATAAAAAGAAGAGAATATGTTTACAGAGGTTTATATAATGTGCATAAACATATCATGGTGTATACTTTTCTTAACACTGACAGTTGGTCATGGGTGGGGTATCTCTGGTGCATGGGTGGGACTGATACAGCTTACATCTTCATGTAGTTCACAAAGCAAGTATAGGTGGAGTATCTCTTATGCAGAATGCTTGGGACCAGAAGTGTTTTGGATGATTTTTTCAGATTTTGGAACATTTACATATATATATAATGAGATATCCTGGGGATGGGACCCAAGTTTAAACTCAAAATTCACTTAAGTTTCACATGTACCTCTTTCACATAGCCTGGAGGTAATTTTATACAATATTTTTAAATAATTTTGTGCATGAAACAATGTTTGTATTAAGTACTTATGTGTGGAATTTTCCATTTGAGGCATCATGTTCCTGCTCAAAATGTTTTGGATCTTGGAGTGTTTTGGATTTTGGATTAGCGATGTTCAACCTGCATGAAAAGGTGACATAATTATCCACACTCAGTCATGATATTGAAGTGCCACACTAGTAACTTAAACCCATAGAAAGAAAAATATGTATTGGTGTGTGTCTGTCTTGTACAGAGGGCCTGTAGACCCCAAGGCCTCTAATACTGGCCACACTGCGATTTTTTTTTTCTTCTACAAGCAGTTCACAATGAGAGATCATGACCACTGTCCTAAAGCAAGAGCAATACCCTTTTCTGTGAGATGTCTTCCTAACTGCTAATAGTGCATGTGAATGCCATGCTCGACAGGCCTTTATTTAAGAAGAGCTCAGTTGCCCTTTTTACCTGTGTCTCCACAAATAGATTAGTGGGAAACCTATTTCTTTATCTACTAAATAAAAGAAAATAAAAAATGAGACAAAAATCTGTTGGGAAATAGTCTAAGAGACTTGAGAAGTTTCAGGGGTTTTGCAGGGCTTTGCCTTGAAGGAATCTGTGGACATGTTAGTTCACAGACTAGAAGCTGCTTCCAACAAGGGGGGCATTGCCAGAGGACTTTTGCAAAGCAACGTTTCTTCTTTGCTGCCAGCCCTTGCCTTGAGCTTTTTGCAAAGCAGAAGCTCCGTTTGGGTCCTTGGTGGAGAAGTTGATTAAAATGCCTGCCCAGCAGATAATGTGCAGGTGGAACTATCCTAGACTTCAAGGCTATTCCTGATTCACTCCTGACTACATGTCTCTGTGTTTAGAAAAAGTAGATTAGAGTAGTACACAGACTCAGTGTTCTCATTTTATATATTTCATCTTTAATTTGTATGCTCAGCTAGGTCTGTTTCTAACTTAGGGCTTAACATGCTTACCTTAGAAAAATTTTGTAACCCTCTATTCTTGTAGACAGAATTAGGTAAGGTTCTCCTGGAAACCTCAAAAAATGAAGTGTACACGTAATTCTCTAACAAAAGACAACTATTTGCTGTAACAACAAATACTGATGCGGGACTTCACTCGTGGTCTCACAGCTCACAGGAATGCTGGGGACCCCCTCACTCCCCCATCATTTAAACTGCACTTTGTCTCCATCTCAATAATTTCTTCGTCTGTATTATTTCTTTATTTTCTATTATTTCCAAATCCCTTGCGACGATCCTGCCTTGGGTCCTGTTTTGCTGGGAGAGCAACTAAATCCCGGCAAACATCCAAAGAGGAGCCTGGCATTATCTAAAGATGCCTTGTGCCATGAATTGATGGGTAAGATAAACTCCACTCCTGGGGACCAAAACAATGAGGGCAGACAAGTACCTGCGCCCAGAGTAGAAGATATGGCAATTGTTACACTAGCTATTTGTCGGAAGGAACTTTGGGTTATTAAAAAGTATTTTTTGCTTGCCACTTTTATTTTCCAAATTTAATATAAAGGGTATATGCCATTGTATAATAGGAAATACTAAGCTCATTCAAAAATAGAAGATTTAAATCTTTTTCAGTGATTGAGTGAATCACTAAAAGTGATGGTGGTGCCTCCTGGGGACAAACAAGTGCCTTTGTCCTAAGGAGCAATAGTGAGTGGGCTGCCACTCCAGTGTGGGTGGCAGGTGGGGCTGGGGTGGTCTCCAGTTCCCAAAGGTCTAAGGGCACCGAGTTTTAAGCGAAGGGACCTAAAGTGGTATGTTCTCTTGAATATTAGTCCAACTAAAAAACAATAAATGAAAAAATAATCAATTTGAAAATTTGGCAAAAAAAAAAAAATCTTCAAAATGAGACCATTGCTCTGGTCTCAGCAGCTGGGCCAGGCCAGAAGGAGGCCAACGTCCATCACCTGCACAGTTGCAGGGGCCACCAAGGCATGTGGACCAAGGTCTGTCTCAATTCCGCCAGGGCACAAGCAGCAGGCTTTCCTGGACATCCAAGTCCTCTCCTCCCAGGCCCCTCCCACTGCAACAGGGGGCCGCTCCCAGACCCGGACGAAGGAAAGCACAGGGTCAGATACACAGTTGAGTGCATCTTCTCACCCCAGGGAATGACATTCCCGGAGGGAGACAAAACCACTAGTGAGAGCCTCAGCCCTTCTCTTTTTATGACCCTACTCTAGGCCAGAACCTTGATGTCTTTACTTTGAGACTGCCCAGAAATAATCAGTTCCAAGCAAGCTTCTCCCGTGGGGATGAGGAAATGAGCAAGGTCAGGGAATGTGCCAAACAGCTGGGCCTCACCCCAGCCAGCCACACCTGACACCTGGGGTCACCTCAGGAAGTGGTGGGGCCTCCCCTCTTGGCCCTCTTGGCCATTTCCTCAGACTCCTCTCCCAGTCACCTTGGCAGGAGGTGACTCAGTTCCCTTAAACGCTTTTCATCTGTGACTGGGAAGGCTGCACCACTCTTTTGCCATCACAAAATGTCCCCAAGGGGAAGAGCTCAAAGTTGCCAAGCGCGGTTTGTTTCTGAGGCATTGTAGGAAGAAACATTTCCAAATCTGGAGGCTAGCTCTTTGGTAGACATGGTAGACTTTTGTCAAAAACTTCCCCAGGGACCAGGAGAATGGTGAAGTACCTCCTGTTCTAAACAAAAAAAACTGGCAGAGGGGGCCGGAGAGGGAGGAAGAAAAGCCTCCATAAAATCTGGCTGAACAGTTTCGGTGTCCTGAGAGCAAAAGTGAGTCCACACAGCTGCTTCCTCAGCATGTGGGAGCCAAGGCTGTGTGACACCACCACCAAATGGCAAATGCTCCCCCAGCCACAGCCTGTGGCAGACACTGGCCCACAGTATTCAGCGATGGGCCATTTTCTAGAATCCCTGCAAGCTGCAACATGCAGATGCAGTTGAAAGGGCTGGGAAGCAGAGAGCAGGGGAGAGGCAGAAACACCATGTTTTACCCAGCCCTGCCCACTCAGTACCCAGTAGCCCACCTGGCTGGCCCTGCTCCAATTTTCAGACTTTCTTTCTTTTTTAAATATGATGAGGGAGACAGCCACAGAGGAGATAATACTGTGCTGAAATTTTCTGAGGAAAAGGAGAAGAAAGCCAGAGTGGTGGTGCACACCTGTAGTCCCAGGTACTCAGGAGGCTAAGGCAGGAGGAGTGCTAGAGGCCAAGAAGTTGAGACCAGCTTGAGCAAAAGTGAGACCCCATCTGTACAAAAAATGTTAAAGTTAGCCGGGCATGGTGGTGCACGCCTGTAATCCCAGCTACTCTGGAGGCTGAGGCAGGAGAATCACTTGAGCCCAGAAGTTTGAGATTGCTGTGAGCTATGCTGATGCCACTGCACTCTAGGCCAGGAGACAGAGCAAGACTCTGTCTGAAAAATAAAATAAAATAAATTTAAAAAAGGAAAGAGAAAAGCTAGGGTCACAGAAGGAAGACAGTGTTTTAAGAAGAGGCAGATGAAAGGTGTCGAGAAACTTCCAATGGGATGAGAAGTTCAGTAAAAGCCAATTCAGTTTAGGATTTAGGACTTTGATGGTTGCCTTTGAGAGGCTGATGTATACGGAGTGCAATGTCCTCTTCTATTTAAAACCCTGGTTACACATTCCTTTTTTATTACATTTTATGGACATTTTAATGTCTTACCTCCTGGAATGCAAAAAACGGGCTGCTTTTGTTTTTGTCACACTCAGAAATATTGCTATCAAATGAAAAACTGTAGTTGCTTGTTTCTTCCCATATTCTCCTATAAACATATTGTGTTGTCAGTGGAGTGGTCAAGGCTAGAGCAAACGCATTAAGGAAAATGGCAGGTTCTACAAATAAAATCTTCATATTGCTTGCGTAGGTAGCTGAATTCTACAAAAAAAAAAAAAAAGGGAGAGAAGTAATCAGTTGCATTTTTATCCCAGAGGCTAGATTTTCAAAGAAAAAAAAAAAAAAAAAAAGGAGAGAAGTAATCAGTTGCATTTTTATCCCAGAGGCTAGATTTTCAAAGATGGGGAAGTTAGAGCACGTTTGTGCAGTAAACAACAAGCAAACTAGAGAAGAGAAAAGAAGGAAGCACTTCCTAGGAGAGCAACTTTGACTTTGGAGTAGGGACTCAGTAAGCACCCGAGGCTGTCATCCTTTCCATTTTTAAGAGTAGGACCTTTCCGGACTCAAACAGCCTTTATAAAGGACGATTCTTTGAAAGAATCCGAATAAGCTGTCACCCAGCTTGGTTACCCAGGGGTCGCTCTACAGGCCCACATTGTGCATTGCCAGCCGGCTTTCGTAAGTTAAACAACGAGGCTCCCCCTGGGGCGCGGCGGTTACACAACTGTTATTGTTATTTTGCAGCGTGTTCTCACGGACAGGGAGGGGCCTTTCAAAGAGCAGCTCCCAATCAGAGGGGCTCTTTTCGTTTTGTTTGTTTTGTTTCAACTCACCCCACGAAGACAGTCCTGCTGCCAGGCCGCGCGCAGGTCCGACCCCTTTCGCGGGTGGGTGCCGGGCGCCCTCGGGGCTGGGGCCGCCGCGGGGACGGGCACGCGGCTACGCGGCCGGGGCGGGGAGGAGACGTGCCCGCGAATCCGCCCGGCTGCGCCAGCCGGGGAAACTCTAGCCCCGTGTGACAGCAAACCCGGCGAGCGCGCTTCCGCTCCGGAGTGGCACCTGCGGCGCTCGCCGCGGCCCCGCCCCCGCGGCCTGCCACTGGGCCCGGCGCTCGCGCGGCGTCGGCTGTCCCGGGTCCGCCGGTCCGCCCAGCCCCGGCCGTGACTCAGCCGCCGCCAGCCGAGCTTCGTGCCGGCCCGGGGAGGCGGGGCGGCCGCTGTCACTGTCCTCCCCGGCTCCCCTGCGATTGGCCCGCCGCGACGCCGCTCTCGGGCGCCCGCCCCCGCAGGCCCCGAGCGGATCCCGCGCGCCAGAGCCGGGGCGGCCGGGGGCCCCGACCGCAGTTGCAAAGCGCGCCTGGGTCCGAATGTCGCTTTGCACGGGAGCACCCGGGAGATCTGTCGCAAAAGGGTCGCGTTTGGGCTGCAGCCCCCTGCAGCACCCCGGTCCGCGGGGCGGGCGCCCGCAGAAGCAGCGCAGAGCGGGCGGCGGATCTGGGCGCCCCTGGAGGGCGCGGGGAAGAGCGCTCAGGGCGCCGTTAGCGGTGGCTGGGCTGTGGTCGCCGGCTCTTCCTAGTGGTGTGGCCTGCGGCCAATCGTTAAATCTGTGAGCCTCACGTCTTTACCGGCCAAGTGGGGATGATAACAGGGTTGTAGTCATTACTCCCTCCACGTGCAGGCACGACATAGCCCCCGGGGAGGAGGAGCCGTCTGTCCTCTCCAACACAGCCACCAGGAACAGCTTGTGGCCAGTGAGCTGGGTTACTACTTCTTGCAGCCAGTACATACGCATAGGTGGGGAGCCGTGAGGGCATCTCAGTAAGAAGGTGTTAGGGCTTGCGTTATGTGAGTTTGGGATGAGTTCAAGAAAGCAAGGCCTTACTCTGGGCTGGCTGCTACTGGGAACTGAGGGTAACTCTATGATTCGGTATCTAATAAATCTTATTTAGAAGGAGTCAAGACTAGACAGAGACTAAAGCCATAATTGATAATGAAGCAACAGTCACATATTAGTCTTTTTTTTCTTTTTTTTTGAGACAGAGTCTCGCTTTGTTGCCCGGGCTACAGTGAGTGCTGTGGCATCAGCCTAGCTCACAGCAACCTCAGACTCCTGGGCTCAAGCAATCCTCCCTGCCTCAGCCTCCCAAGTAGCTGGGACTACAGGCTCGAGCCACCATGCCCAGCTAATTTTTTGTTTCATTTTTAGTTGACTGGCTAGTTTTTCCTATTTTTAGTAGAGACAGGATCTCGCTCTTGCTTAGGCTGGTCTCGAACTCCTGAGCTCAAGCAGTCCTCCCCCCCTCGGCTTCCCAGAGTGCTAGGATTACAGGCTTGAGCCACCACACCTGGCCTATATTAGTCATTTTTGTGGTTGAAACAATGTTCAAGTTTTGTCTGGGTTCATACTGGGTTATGGAGTGGTCTTGTTTTCCTGTTGATCAGGTTTATAGACTGACAATGTCTGCTGTTGGTGTTCTGTCAAATTGTTTTCATTCAGCAGGACACGATGGTCCAGAAAAACTCTTAGCAACACCCAGCTGATAGGCCCAGCTGATAGTTCCAGACCAGCATCTGGATGTCAGAGTAGCTTTCTCTTCCTCAATACTCAGTAAATGATAGTTACGCCATTAAACATAGAGTCAAAAGTTTTGGGTTGGAATCCTAATTGTTACTTGGTAGCTCATAACCTTGGGCTTGCCACTTGACTTCTTGGTTTCTTCAAACAAACTTTTATGAAGCACTTATGAGTTTCAAACAATGAAGCATAGATGTTGGAGAGAAGGTATACCAAAATGAATAAGATACACTTTGCTAGGAAAACAAGATAACATTTTTAAATAGTAGTACTCGGTGCTAAGTATTAGATTAAGGACACATTCAAAGTGGGATGGGCCAATGACAGCAGCTGACTCTAACCAGAAAAAGTGGGACTGAACAGGAGAAAGAGAGATTTTACTACCTCACAAGAACACAAGGAGGAATACATGAAATACTTTATGCAAAAATGCTTTTGACAATTGTAAAGCCCTGTATAATCTGAGTTACTATTTTTAAAATAACATTTGTTTTTCTGCTAGCTGTATTACTTTCAAAATATTTTTTTGGCTGGCTTAGACCTTCTTGTTAACTGTCTTAACTATTAACGTGAAATAAAATGATCACTTCAGGTGCTTGGCACCTGTAAAATCAGGAAGTCAAGGTCATGGCCCAGACCTTGCTATCTTTTTTTTTTTTTTTTTTTTTTTTGAGACAGAGTCTCACTCTGTCCACCTGGGGAGGACATCATCATCATAGCAGTGGCATCATCATAGCTCACTGCAACCTCAAACTTCTGGGCTCAAGAGATCCTCCTGCCTCAGCCTCCCAAATACTGTGTTTCCCTGAAAATAAGACAGGGTCTTATATTTATTTTTCCTCAAGAAGACACCCTACAGCTTATTTTCAGGGATGTGTTATTTTTTTTTTAAGTACGGTACAACAATCTACATTTATACAAATATAGTTAAGTTGTCTTCTTCTGGAACATCATCATAACTCTCCAAACCCCGAATTCCATCCTGAATTTCTCGCGACTCTATTTCCTTTAGAACCATTGGCCCCAATCTCTCATGTCGAGCAATAGAGCTCTCATTAAATGAGCAGGGCTGGCTTATTTATCAGAGATCTAGTGGGCACTGGGTCCAATCTGCACAGTAGAGCAGAAATGATCTCTCTGGGCTCAGTAGGAGACTGCTTGCTGAAGCTTTTCCCCTGTCCCCTGGTGTCTGTGGGGAGTGGAGAGGCCCACAGTGCTGAGTAAAATGGCAGCCACAGCTTTCCTTCTTACCCCTGGGGACACACAATACCTAAAGCAGAGCGTCCTGCTCCTCACTTCACTGAGGAGACTTTGCCCTCAGAGCCTCAGCTTGCAGCACGCACAGGATGGCCGGGACCTGGCAGGGGGAGCCGACTTGTTGGTGGGGCTGCCCGCACCTTTCCAGTCACCTCTGGGATGCTAGCTGTCACCATGGGGCAGATGAGAAGGGCTGCTCGTCTTTAATGCTCCATGATGAAATGCATGGGTTGTGCAGAGACGCTGTGTATCCACGCCCATCGCTAGGTCTTATTTTCGGGGTAGGGCTTATATTGTGCACATGCTTAGAAATCCTGCTAGGGCTTATTTTATGAGTGGGTCTTATTTTCGGGGAAACACGGTAGGATTACAGGGATGAGCCACCACGCCTGGCTAATTTTTCTATTTTAATAGAGACAGGGTCTGGCTCTTGCTCAGGCTGGTTCCAACTCCTGAGCTCAAACAATCCTCCTGCCTCAGCCTTCCAGGGTGCTAAGGGTTATAGATGCGAGCCACTGCACATGGCCCAGACCTTACTATCTTAAAACAGCAAAGCTCTGTGTCCATCTTGGGTCACTGCAGAGCTTCACTCCCTGTCACTGGCACTCACAGACACAGACTGATGGGACCATCATCTGAATATTGTTGCTAGCACCACCGTAGAGAGAATATGATGAGTCTGATGCCAGCTCAGACTTTCCCCCTGGAAATGATACAGGCCATTTCTGTTCACATTTTGGCCAAAACAAGTCACAGGACCAGGTGGAGAAGTACACGCCTATCGTGCTCAGAAAGAGGAGGAAATATCAATAAATGGCTCTAATGAGTTTCCACATCCCCAGGCCATAATTTCGCATGAAAATCAATAGAAAAGAAATTTGCAATTAGAAGATGTCTTTTCTTGTGGGGCAGAAGGAATTAGTATAGAAGGAATGGACACTAAGCCATGCTTTTCGTCCCTGCTCTTCCATGTGAAGAAGAAAGCCAGGCCTTCTTAATGTCATCTGCTGCCCATCTTTATGGTGACAGCAACTTTATGCGAGCTTTTTGCTTTTTTTCTTTTCCAAGTAAAATTAAGTGCTTGAGTATGTATTAAATCAGAGAAGCCTTAACTGACTGCTAATCGGAATCTGTCACTGTGCTCTGCACTGTGAATGAAACAAAAGAAGTCATTATGCCATAGTAAATCATCAAAGAAGTTTCCCCTTATGTGGTAAAAATAGATGGAAATACATTAAAAGAGTGCAATGGATTCTAAAACTTAAGTATATGGAAATCATCCAGACCCGTCCCTCCCATTCTTCCTCATAGCATCCCACTCAAGCCTTCTCCCTTCAAAGACTCAAATAAAAAAATACAAAATAAAGACTAAATGTGCAAAGAACAGTGGCCATTCACCTGGCATGATCTCCCTGGCTGTGTTTCTGAAAATAAGTTTATTCGTCAAAGCAAGGGCTTCCGGGAGGATTTTGAAATTTTATGTTTTCTGTTCCATGACCTAGAAAATTCAACGCAAGCATATTATGAGTTGTAATCAAGTACTGACATTTGATTTCAGTGTCTGTATTTGTATTTCTACTTATGATCACGTTGGCTCCAAGCAGATGTACTTTAATAATGTCAGACTAATGAGAAAAGAAATGGACTAAATGTATAAATGATATGCCCAAGCTAAGTAAAGAGCAAACAATGTCATTATCATGTTGTCAAATACAAGTTTCCAGAGTATTCCAATAAAAAGTGTGGGAGACTTTAGTCATGACCTGACCTGACACACAAATAGACATACTAGATTCAGAAGAACCTTTGCTGTGCTGGACAATGCCATATTCAAGTGACAAAAGCCAAAACGGGATATCGTTGCTATGAGATTTTGTTGGTTTCAAGAAGGAAGTGGCTTTTTCACTTCTGATAAAATCAGTAAAGGAAGATGTGATGAAAAGATCTCAGTTATACTAATTACTGCTTAGTAGGTGATTGTTAAGAGTCTAATGTGATAAAACTCCAAGCACAAATTGTGGGAAGGAAATGTAATCTGATCATATGACCTTGGTCAATAATTTACCAAAACAGACCTAAATAGGTCTTACTATTTGATAAATTTATTCATAACCTGACTTCAACTCTGTATTTCTTGACCTCTGTTGCTCTGGACACGGTCGAACGATTTCTCCTTCTGGAAATGTCCTCTCCCTTTGGATGGCATGACCAAACTGTCTTCCTGCTGCTCTGAGAGCTCCTTCTCA